GAGAGCCTATTCATGAACTGTTCTCTCAACATCCCCAGAGAGCCTATTCATGAACTGTTCTCTCAACATCCCCAGAGAGCCTATTCATGAACTGTTCTCTCAACATCCCCAGAGAGCCTATAGAGGCAGCGTCGTGAGCGAGAGACCACATACATTGACAGTGGAGGCGGTGGAGGGCTCCAGGCGGATCTGGGCCCGCTGGTGGCGCAACACTTCCTTCTGCTGGTCAGACTGGATGACCGGCGGAGGGGGCGGGGCTACGAACGTGGCTTCGCCCGACAATGCCCGGGCCGCGGTCTCTCTCTCCTTCACCTGCCGCAACTTCTCCTGGGTCGGCGGGACAGGAGTTAGATGGGGGAGGTGGAGGAGGGAGGAGAAAGGAGGGGAGGGGACGGGACGGGAGGGAGGCACACACATTAATATAAACCCAAAAAAACCCAAAACAACAACTTAAATTGGACTAGCTAAATTACAAAACAAAGACATGCCACATAAATAAAATAGTCTCAGTCCTACTCACAAACAAATGGCTCAACTCAAGACGAAATGAAATAAGAACGTAAACAATTTTTTTTAACTAACAAAAATGCTAGCACGACTCAAACAAACCATGCTGCAGTTCACAACAGACATTTCAGATGGGGAAAGGCAAAACATACCTAGAAAAAACAAAACAACTAACAACCATCACAAATAACGTCTTCCCACATATGTCTTTATAACAATGGGTTTTCTTCCCCTCTCGTTATTAACAAAAAAAACAAAAATATAAAACATGCTCTAGCCAATCTCTAGCAATTTCTTTACAATTCACACTGTCCTATCAGTTCAGGAATGAGAAATGAGAGGTGAGATAGTTCTAATTATTACCAGCAAGCTTCTAAAATCTTCACTTAGGTATAAACAACATATTAGAACACAGTAAGACAAAGACTCCTGCATATAGAAAATTACAGGACAAAAATTGCTCAGATATGTGTTAGTCCAACATTTACTTTTACCATTCTGGTATGAGTAAAAAAAAACAAAAAAGAAATCTTAAAATCCCGAAACACCATGGTTCTGTTTAAAAATGTAAAAAGGTGAAAAGATTATTCAAAAAGAAACAAATCAAAAGACCAAAATTAGTTACTAAGAAACTGAATTTCATATAATGTTAATATTAGGAAAGGATATGAAAAACTTTTTGTTTTCACAAAAAGAAAAAGGGGAAAAGAACAGACCAACAGTTTTACTCAGGGAGTATTTGTGAAGTCAGGAAGGCCCTTTGAAAAACTGTAACGATTCTACCAATTTCATGACCACGGGCCACCCTACACATTTCTCCAGAATATTCTCCAGACTAGGGTGATGATATGGAACAAGGAACAGCCACCCATGTGTTAAAACCAAGCTTGTAATTCAATGTTGATCAACGGAGAAGAGAGGGAAATTTTGAAGTGACAGTCGATATTCGTTTCAAAACTGACAAGATATTTCCCAACGATCCAAGAGAAGATAATAATACGAGTAACGATATATTGATTGTTTCAGAGTGAAAGAGTAGCCCATTAATAAGATGACAGCCAGAAAGCAGTCAGAATGATCAAGACCCCCAAAAAAAAAATATCGGGGGGG